GAGTGCTTTTTAGGTTAACCAGAGTGCTTTTTAGGCTAACCGGAGTGCTATTCAAACGTTTTGACGACCAGTTATTTTATAATAGTCTACGTTATAAATCCCGATATACCGAGTGCCAGGCTAACCAAAATTAGTATTCGGCAATATCAACAAAGATTTGACATTATTAACTGAAATTTTAAAAAAATAATTTTGACTGCCGGACACGGAGTACTTTGAAAACCCTGTCCGGCTGCCGGACATAGAGACACAGCGAACCAAATAAGACAAATTAAAGGATGATCATACACAACAACCTTCACAAGAATTCACTAATACATTTCTATTAAAAATTAAAAAAATAACTATATCGGAAGCAAAACAAACAGTTAGATTACAAAATCAACCAGAGCTGAAGTCTTTGATAAGATTGATACTCACGGGAAAATTCCTCCGGATAGATTGAATTTAGAGCTTCTAGTTCAAGCTCTTGCTCCTCTTTGTGGTCTGTCATGACATTAAATTAATTTGCAAATCCTCTCTAGTCCAAATAACGTGTATAATATTCAAACCATTTCACATGTTCAGATGGCAAAAAAAATATCTTTACTATTGAAAATTGTCCGCCATGTTGATTTTTTGGCGACATGTGCAGACCTCGTTTTCACGTTGTCACGATTTCTTACTGGGAGTGACAGCCCGACACAATTATTCTGACAGTCCATAGAAAATGGTATTTCACAAAATGCGATAAACTTTATCCACTGTTCTTCAGAAAAAAAAAACTTCAAGCAGAAAATCAAATAATACGCACTAGTGCTTTTAATTGTCTGACTTTCAAAAGAAAAATTAACTGAATTGCTGTATTTCATTTACTTACCGGACCCCGGGAAGTGATTTCTTGTCATGTGTTTCCCATCTTGCCTTGCAGGAAGTAATGCAGTTGCATATGGCGATTTTTGTTATGACATGACAGGCGAATTTCGACTCTAAACTAGCTGAATTTTCATACTAACTATGGCGGAAAATGAAGAAGGTAATGGTCAGAATCACGCTTAAACCTTCCTGCATATGTTGAGCTTATTTATTTCTGCATTTGTTGCAGGGAGCAAGAGAAAAATCGAAGAAGAAGTGGACGCCACACAGGCTGCACCAAAGCGAGTAAGCACGCCTTCCGTCTTTCGATTCTTTTTACAATCTGCGCAGGAGTTTCCGAATTAATTTTGGGGCGGATTGTATGCAAAAAAGTTTTAAAGAAATTTGTTTTCCAGGTACGACTTCAATCGCAAGATCTGACGGACTTGTCGAAGGAGGACATTGTGGAAAGGTTAGTATCTTCATGACAGCTAAGATTGATCAGTTTTGCTCTTACGCGGAACTTTACCATGCTTTCACTTACAATTTGTTCCGTTAATTAACCGATCCTTGAGCCTTTCTTTATAGCTTTACTTTTATTTCAGTCACGAACGTAGTTTAGAAAGGCTATGATTGATACACGTATTGCAGATATAGATCAGGCTGGTGAATTTACAACTGATAACGGTCGCAAATGATACTGGAGAAGCAATCTGGACTTCTTTATAATTTTAAATTTTAGAGTTTGACGTCAAGTTATGTTCATAATTTGCGGCGAGAAAATTGGTGACTTCCAAATTCATTAGCTATTTATTTAGTAAAAGGAACGAAAAAAAAATGGTGAGAGCTAAGCCGCGAAAGTTACATTTTGGCCGTGAAAGTAATGCATAAGACAGACTTACATTGTATGACATGGGGAATCTTACTAAGTTTACATACAAAGCAGTGGTGGTGGTATTTTATAAATCATGCTGTATTTTTGTTTATCAAAATGGAAAGCCATTGGCCCAGTCTAAACACAAGGGAAAAGTTAAAATGTACATTATTAGACAGTTTTAAGGTTACTGTATACCTCTGAATAGTTTCTATTTGCATAAGCCAAACAATGACCAATCACAGACACTTTCCAGATATCTGCACAGCTATAGCGTCACTATTAGGTGTCTTACATCCAGGCGATGGAGTAGGTCCTGTTTAAATTATAGATACCTAAACCCCGATATCAAATTAAAGCTTTTAGAGCTGGCTATCAAACTATGCCAAGAATTTTGAAATAAGATGAATTGCTAAATTTTTTTTACGACCTCTAAACATGAGCGTCGGAATCACCTTTTGAAAGCCACAAGTCGTAGCAAATTTTGTTTTTTTGCTTATTTAATTTGTTACTCAGTTTTCGGACCCAAAGCACTAAAAAATGGTTTGTCTGCAATTTGCCATATTCAATTTCATTAAAAAGTTACACAACGTTGTCGAAATACAGTGCAGCTCAGATATATCCGAACCAAAATATACGCGTAATTCGCATCAGCCCAATACGCACATATGCATATACAGTATATACACGTATGCCTGATTAGTATGTACGAGCTAACCTATTGTTTTTTTCTGTTCTTAACAGGTCATTGTTGTTGCTAAAATGCTCGGTTAATGCTCATACATACGGTTTTTGATTTTTAATAATTTTAACGTTTCAACACAATTAACAGTTCAGAGTGCTTTACAAAAACGTATACTTAGTATAACAAGTTAACAACAACGTATGTAATAGTTTTAATACACCAAAGATAATTTTCTAAATGACCTGTTGTTCTGTGAATCCTTTGTCCCCTTTCAGTGATACTTAAGTGAAGAGGCTAAGTTAAGTCTTCATTTTCTGGTAAAAAATAGTTTTTATGTCTATTTTCTGTGGGAAAAAGTAATAGTAATTTTGCAGGAAAATGCCACTAAAATGCTCGAATAATGCTTCATGCTTTTGCCTCACTAAAATGCTTGAAAAAATGCCAGCATAATGTACAAAAGCCTACTCGCAAGCGACTTGCTGACGCATGCCTAAACACAGAACTTTTCCTTGAAGAAAAAATAGCTAAACGTGAGCAGCGCGCCATAGAAACTTTGATAAACAATCCTTTGGTTGATGAAAGAGCATTTTACCGTTTGAATGAACGTTTCTGTGTCAAGTAAAACCGGAGATATCATTTTTTCAACAAGGATCTTCAGAACTGTTCAGACAATAAACACTTCGCAAACGACTTGCCGACGCGTGCCGAAACACAGAACTTTACTTGTAAAAACATAAAATTCACGTGTTAAAATAGAGAGTTCAAGTGACTGGTGCAATTTTCTTCCCATTTTTGTAAGCTTAGTATCAAGCAAGTTTTGATAAACAGTAGTTTGTTGGTGAATTTGCGAAGTGATCAAAAACTTGAAATATGATAGCTTTCATTGATCAGGAAGACGTTTTAACAATATGCAAATCTCGCTTTAAAGTTTTTTTCATTCCCAGAAATATAATGTCCTTTGTTTGACTAACAATGCTTCACATAAAGAAACTTATGGGAATGCATAACAAAGAGACATATATGCGTGTAGATATGTGCATATGAGCGTGTAGTGACATACGCATATACGCAAAATACGCTCATAATAGGCGTATGCATAGTTTGCATATATCTGAGCTGCACAGTAGGATTAGAAAAATATGGAGTGACTGTGGAAAAATCACTCTTGAAGAAAATGTTTGGAAATAAAAACTTCTCAGACACTGTTGTTCCTTTGAACAACTGGGGCCTGATGTCTACCAAGAGATCAGGGGTACTCAGGTGTATTAGGTGTGGGGAGGTACAACCAAGACCAAATTGCAAATTGTCACTGAAAATTGCTATTAGGCTGCAACCAAAAAAATTCCGATGCTCTAGAACACAACCTAGAGAAGGTCCATTTTTTTCCTTCCTTACAGAGAGAGATAGGTTTCTTGTAAGCTTTTGTGTCTGGAAATATAATTCTGATTTACACCCGATTTCAGTGTTACGTGCATGGGCAACATCTTTTGACCATCTTTTGACAGGCTATTAAAATCGCTGAAAGACCATTTAACTGTGAAACTGGCAATTTTTCTGGTTATTCGTGGAAGAAATGACAAATAAATTCATGATAATTACTTTACTTTTTATAATTTAAATGATTTGTGTGTAGTCGATCGGGTCTCAATAATGACTTCCAGGAGAATCAGGTCTCTACCACATTTAGTATTCAAAAGGTGTAAACACTCAAAACAGTCGATTTATCTCTCACAGAATGACTTCTTGATACTCCTAGCCTTAGTTTGATGTCAAATACATCTTTCATGACTAAAAGTTGAGTTCTACTGTTAAGAAGTTCGTTGTGTGAACATTTTTGATGTAGGCCAGGTTACATAGCATGTCAAAAGATGTCGCCTATGCACATAACACTGAAAGCAGGCAATAAAGGATATATACTAGATATTCAGTACTTTTGAGTGGTATGACATTGAATATCCCATGTATTTTCTCAGTCTGTACACAAGCCTTTAGGCCAGTGTATATAAACATTGTACCAAGAAAATACAAGTCACTAGTGGGATATTCCATGGTAAACCACGAGATAGCATTGCATAACTATTTCATACCATGCCAAAGAAAATACAGTGGCCAGCTCAATCATGCAAAACGTATGCGGCGCACGATGGAAGGGTTGGGTGTAATACCATGGAGTATACAATGGCTTTCCTGTAATCTGATTGGCTGTGCAATGTGTTTTCTACAATGTGGTATAAAATCCTGCAGTTGAGTGGGGAAATAATGTTCATTAGCTCCAGCTGATAGTTTTATTCCTCCCTTAGGGTAAAGCAGTTGGATGAATATGTTGATCACCTGGAAAAGAAGCAAAATGGAGAGCAAGCAAATAGTAAGTAGTTGTTGTGGTACATTTAAGGTGCCTCCTTATAGTTCTAAGACCACAAGCTTACTAAGAATGAAAACTTTAGTTATCTGTGCACGCTCAAAGGCAAATATCAGGGTTCCAAATTATTATGACATCAACATGACCACAAAAACTGACAGTGAATGCTTCCTTTGGTGAAATTCCATAAAGTTTGGTCAACTGGTAATAAAGATTTCACTTTAATTAGTTCAAGCTTGTTTTTCCGGGAAATCAATCTGACCAGTTTTTATCCAGCGGGAAAAGACATATTTGCAAAAATTGAAAACATTTCAGTACAAACCCTACTTTTTATGTAGTTAAAATTATTATCTGTACATGTATGGTGAAAATTTGTGAGCTTTGACCAAAGGAAATTCAATATACATGTAGCCACACTAATGGTGAAAAATGTGTTTTTGGGGGTGGTTTTGATTCAAGACTAAAAGTCATTATTTTAACAGAGATGATTGTATAGCACTGTTTCATACTTGCTTGTTATATTAAAAGTTTGAGTAAACTGGGTGTTACAATGAATGCAAAACCAGCTTTCAGAATATAATGCTATGAACGGTTAGCTGATTTCTGAATCATTGCAGATGATGCTTCCGTCCATGTAGACTAGATTCTATGGTAACCTTTTCACAACTTCTAGAGTCCAAATTTAGTAATTCAAATTTCAAACTTTTTATAGATATGTAAAATACTTTAAGTCGATCAGTACCACATCAATAAAAGTACTGCTAAACATTCAAATGTGACTCTGACACTTAGGGTCTGATTACATGGCGAATTTCAGCCTGCTTAGCTGGGCTGAAATTTCAGCCCGGTTTCTGAAACAAATTCTCATGAAATGAAATTGGCGATTACATGGAGAAGGATTCAGTTAAGGCTGCAATTCAGCTCGGGCTGAAAATCCTAGCCCGGTTTGAAAAACTTGAGCTTGAGGGCATATTTTCTTTCTATGCAAGTACATATTTCTGGCTGAGAGATATGTAGCCAAAGACAGTTTCGTTTCAGTTCCATCATCACCATTGTAGGGTATTACTATCCCAAAAAGTTTAAAATTGAGTGCCAACAAAAGGTCAACTACAAGAGAAGCAATGTGCCTATTTTCACGATTTGTGTTCTTGGCACCATTTTGACTCTCCTGAGACTTTTCGCACACAATTTCATACTTGGCGCCAAGGCTAATATTTCAGCCCGGGCTGAAATTTGCCATGTAATCAGGTCCTTAAATAGGTTTTCTAGAGAAAACATTCCAGGTCAACTAGTTATTACATGTATATAATAACTATGCATATTGCGCTAAAAGGTTCATGGTACCCCTGGTTCAATGCAGTTTTGTAATGTTCATAACTTAATTAAGATGTGTCACTCATGTAATATATCAAACACGAGAAAGAGAGTTTTTTATCAGGATATCCAAACACCAAGAAGAGAGTTGAAATTATGATGCGCAACGGAGTATTTTTGATGAAATTCGAGGTGTTTGGATAGCTGATGAAACACTGTCTCAATTGTTTGGTATATCTTCTCAATCAAAACAAAAGCAAAGGAGTAAATGGAGAAGTAAAATTTTCAAAATCTATGCTAATTAAGATCAGGTATCCAAACCTTCACGCAGTTGTGATTTTCTTTGTTGTAACTTGATGAATTTTTAATGAGTTTGAGAAGATGTAATCCCTTCTGAGTATGGCACAGTGAAAATCTTTTGCATGAATATTTTGTTTCTTATCTCAATCAAAGAAGAATTAGCAGGACTCGTGGAGACTGGAGAGAAGCTGAAACAACAACAGCAAGAATCCACAAGGCGCGAGAATGTGTTGGTGATGAGGCTTGCTACAAAGGAACAAGAAATGCAAGACCTACTGGTGAGGACTACAGAAAACAAGGCGTCATTCATAATGTACTGTACAACTACAAAATGTGTGCCTTGTAATTAATGCCACACTGAACAGAGACACTGCTTTGACACACAGCCAAGTGTCTGTCTGGGGACAAGCGGTACAAGGGAGGGACACTTGCTTCTGCGGTAACAGGCAAATGCCATATCTTGTTCCCTAGCAACCAGACAGCAGTATAGAACTGTCCTGGAACTTTCATGGAGACTTGCATGTTCTTGTGATGTTTGCTAGATATCTACAGAACTGAATTATTCACTCTTGAAAAACATTCCATGCCTTTTCAGGTACAAGTAGTTCTTTACTTACACGTAGCTACCATGTGCATTACGAAAACAAAATTTGAAGAATTTAATAATGGTCATATTTCTATTATTGGAAAATCTTTTGTAAAACAATGCTTGTATCACAGTCCAAAAAAAAAAAAACCCAGGATTTTACAAGTGTCTGATTACACCATTAAGATGTCCCTTTGTGGGAGTAGCTCTGTGAACACTGATTAGAATTAAAGTGACATACACATGGTTCAGTTGAGGCAATAAGAGGAAAGTGCCATTTTTATTCATTTGTTTTTATTAAACAAGAAGTGCATCACGTTATATTTCTGTCTGAAGACAGAAATATAGCATGAACCCTGAAAGTCATAATTAAGTGACAATTTTTTTCATGCTCAGGTAGAATACTGTACGTCATTTGAGATATTTGTACATGTAGGTACATGTAGGTACATGTATTCACTAACTACATGTAGAAACTTATGGAGGAAAATCTTTGACCCGTGAAGTTAGGGTCAATGCTTTCCTCGTGTCTTTCATCTTTTTACTGGTGTGTCAGTTTTTTTCTGTTTCCCCTGGTGAACACACATCTCCACATCTGACGGCATTCTTGTTCATTCGTGTATTTCCAAACAAACCGTGTATATTTGCTAATTTGACTGCTTTAAGGCCGGTAGAAGCTGTAACCTGTAAAATTTACATGTTGTAGCAATAGTAATCAGGCATTTCACAAAGTAACATTTGATTGTAATTTGTTAGTAGTGAAAACTTCATTTACAATTTACAGTGATTTGTTTTGGTTGTGAAGGTTTGCCCTGTTTTTATAACAGATCAAAAATCCCTGCAAAGTCTGTTCCTTTTCACATGCCTGATATTTTCAAGTTGGTAGCATAGACACAGTGGGTGTGTAATATAAGTAACTAATTATTGTTGTGATGTTTAAGGTCATTCTAGCCAAAGTCCCTCACGAATGAAACAAAGAAATGTGATCTAACGTAATCTATCAGTAGGATTATTATGTTTTGAGCATAATAATAATAATTAATAATTATTTTTGCCCAAAAGTACATATAGTAACCTTTTATTAGAACAAAAGAGTACTTGTTCACATTCACTCAGGTAATGTAGAGCAGGGTGCCTTGGAGGCTTACTGGGGGTACCCCATCTTAAAGTGACAGTGGTGATTGTCAGAAAATAATTAATAGAAGATATGAAAATCTTTTTCTGTTGTGTGGTCAAACTGATTTCGCCCTTGAACTGTACCATTCTTTAACAGACAATGTCTACACAAATTTAAACAGCATTAAAAATGGTAAAAGTGAACAACAATTTCCATAAGATCTTGTCTGTCTTCTGTCAGCCAAGTGTTGGCTGTTTGTCAGCCGACTGTTGGTCCTCTGTTGCCTGCTTGTTGGCCGACTGTTGGGTGGCAAACTGCCAACAATTTTTGTTATGTTTCAGACAAAAGTGGTGACAATAGTCCACGAACTGTTGGCAATCTGTCGGTAATCTGTTTCTTGGGGTGTGACCTCACCAAAATATTTTTCTCAACCTAATAAGTTAAAGGTACTTGAATAATTTTTTGTACTAACGCCATGGTGGTTCAGTGGCTACCAAACCGGCATGAAATGTAAGACTCACCTTGTCACTTCAAAAATGGGATCCCCTCCACACTGGGGTAGTGTTGCTCATCCATGAGAAGCAGTATGAGCCAAATTATCATCTAAACCAGATTTCTCCTTACATTACTAATACATCGACAAGAAAACAAACGATGAGAAGATAGGAAATCATCAACGAAATGTATAGCAACCAGTAAAACATTGTATCTTGCATTTACTATGTTTGACATTTTTAGCTATTGCTATTGCTCTAAATGCCCTCGGGCATTCAAGCTTTGGTTAAGTCTTGTTTTGCTGCGTGTTTGTTTCAAAATCATCTGTGAAAGGTATATGTGCGAGTTTTATTGGCGGTGATCAATGTACAAATTCTCCATACCAAGTCACAACAAAATCAGTCAGCTAGGAAATGAGAATCAAGGATTACTGTAGTATAAGTTTAAAAACTAAATTCCCCCGCTTAATATTAAGAAAATGTATTGATATAGAAAGGAGAAATTTGATGTTGGTCAGTGGATAGTTGTATACGTAGTTTCCACACCAGTACAACGAAGGTGGACAGCGAGGCAAATGTTTGTTCTTTGTCGTCCACAGACTCAAATCCACGATTTAAAACAAGCTCAAAACCCATCCTCGATACAGCTGCGCTCAACGTTACTGGATCCTGCGGTAAATTTGTTGTTTCAACGAATGAAAACGGATTTGGACTCTGAAAAAGAGAAACTGGAACAAGCACAGAATGATCTCAGCGCTTGGAAGTTCACTCCAGACAGGTGATGGAAAGTTTCCAGAAATCAGCTTTTAGTAGCAAGGACCCAACGAAGAATGAAAGTAAACTGAACGAGAAGCAGCCTTGCTTGACCCATAAGATCTTATTCGTGTGTCCAGTGGTGCCTGACTCTCATTTACCTTACTTTATGCATTGAGGAACAGTGGATTACCTTTGCAGTCGGGGGAACAACCGCTTGTTTCGCTTGGAATATCGTTTACAAGAACTGATTGAGCACACTTTTTTGGCTGTGTTGTTTCTTAGCAACTTAACACGTCTTACTGACGTTCCGCTGACAACAACTTCGGAAGTGCTCGTTTCATTTCTGATTTGACAATATGAATCGGAATGTCTTTGGATACAAACGAACGTCTGCGAAGATTTGTCGAAAACAGCACTTGTTCCCCTGACTGCAGTGCACTGTAGAAAGTGAAAAAAACAATCGTTTTAATTTGCGTCGTCTTTTGTTACAGTGTTACTGGGAAGAAACTGATGGCTAAGTGCCGCATGTTGATTCAGGAGAATCAAGAGCTCGGTCGTCAGTTATCTCAGGGACGAGTAGCGCAGCTGGAGGCTGAACTTGCTCTTCAGAAAAAATACAGTGACGAGCTGAAAGGCAGTCAGGACGGTACGTACAACCAGGAGTTAGGCATTGACTGTGTGTTGCCGTTTATCTGTAGGGTGACCCGAGTGGGAGGGGAGGGGAGGAGTACATAAGTATGCAGTCTTCGTTTCAGATTTAAAGGCACTGTTGTTGTGATCATGGTGTACAACTGCGTTCTTTATTTAGTGTCTCGCGAGGGATCATCTTTTTCAAACGTTTAGCATTTGCATGCCACTGCTGAAAACTCTCAAAACTCTTAACAGTAAGGCTGCTTCAAGAGGGTTGATATTTTAACTGAGGTAAAATAATGAATAGGACCGGACAGTTGTCCTGGAAGCATGTCAAGCTGTTTGGGATAATCTGCGAGATCTCATTCAGGGAATCTGGCATTACTCCAAGCCCTGATAATTTAATTTATTGGGTCTCATGTCTGCCCATTCTTTTTAGCCCTTATGGTTATTTTGGGCAGGCAGTACTCTATACTAATTTAATGGTTATTGTAATTATTTTATAAATTGTGAGTACAAATAAATGGTTGTTGTTGTTGTTGTTGCCACTCTGTAAGTACTTTTTAGCAAACTTTGTATCCACTTGTGTTAAGGATTTTCATAATATTCTGGGCGTCCCATTTCAGAGTTGAACGACTTCGTTATCCAGCTGGACGAGGAAGTAGAAGGTATGCAGTCGACCATCTTAACTCTTCAGCATCAACTGAAAGACTGCAAACAGCAATTGACTCAATCACAGGAGAACGCGCAGCTTTACCAAGAAAAATTAGAGACCACAGAGAGGTTGCTCTCTGAAATGCGCCGCCAGCAAAACTCGCCGGTCAGCGTCAAGTCAGAGGACCGAGGCGAGCATGCGCAAACGCAAACACAGCCATCGCAGGCAGATGATTGGACCGCTGGTGTTGAATGCGTGCCAGGCGATAGGACATCCCCCGTTGCGCAAAGCGAAGAGAGGAAAGAAAGCGAAGAAAGGATACTGCTTAGCGCTGTTGTAACTACTGTCCCTTCGAAACCCGCGGCCAGCGTCCCCTCCGCGTTTTCTATCAGCCAGTTGCTAGCGACTGACTCGAACCTTGGGAAGGATATTAAAGAGCGAAACACTGTAGAGAACGGCGGAAGCCAACACGAAAGTCCGCCATTAGAACCCAGTGAAATGAGTGAATCCCCGCTAGTCGCGGCCATGGGATTGGTGGAAAGGATTGGGTGTGACTCAAATACTTTTAACGGGGAGGTGACGGGTTAATCGCGCTGCATCCCCCGTATCCCATATCATCCCCCCCTCCCTCCCTCGCTGCGTTACTTGTTAAGCACCATTGTCTGCTTCTTTGCGGATATGCGTATGAGAAGCAGGTCTTTCCTATAGGACGTTTTGATGTCGTAAATTATCAATAAATGTCACTTGTTTTCACAACATCATAACCTGTTTAATGTCTGATTACGCAGTGGGCACTCCAGAATTTTAGCGTGTTCCCACAGCTGGCTATAACTTCCAGGCGATCAGGGAGAACAGGATTTCTCTCTGGGAGACTACTATATCTACAGTGACGCACGGACAATCAATCTCTAATCTCATTTTTCTCCGTAGCTCCAGGGCTAACGAATAGTCATCAATTTATTACGAAAAAAATTAAATTCTAATAGTTACGTGAAGATCTGGTGGCCCGGATCTGGTGGCTAGTGTTTTTGAGCTGCTTTCCATCGTTGGTTTCGTTGATTGCAGGTCAAGCGAGGTGATTTGTTGGGTGTGGCCGGCAGGGTGGTGACCCAGTAGACTGCAGTGTCTTTTATTAGCGTGCGAGGAAAGCAAAAGAAGGACACATATGCATGACTCTATCTTTTTACAGTCTCTCGGAGGATTCGGGAACAAAAACCGGGTTACAACATACATCTCTTTCAAGTACATTTTCCGCGTTAACATAGTTTTACAAGGTACAGTCGACGATTAAATCTCGTTTATTAGCCTCATTGCCTGTCGCCCAGTGGGTCAAAACTGGTCGAATTCCTTATTGCTGCAAAACAATCATCGCTTCCATCGCTAAAACTCAAGTGTGTTCACGCATTTAAAATCAAATTTTCCAGTTGTANTAATAGTTACGTGAAGATCTGGTGGCCCGGATCTGGTGGCTAGTGTTTTTGAGCTGCTTTCCATCGTTGGCTTCGTTGACTGCAGATCAAGCGAGGTGATTTGTTGGGTGTGGCCGGCAGGGTGGTGACCCAGTAGACTGCAGTCTCTTTCTTTTATTAGCGTGCGAGGAAAGCAAAAGAAGGACACACATGCATGATTGTATCTTTTTCCAGTCTCGGAGGAGGATACGGGAACAAAAACCGGATTACAACATACATCTTTTTCAAGTACATTTTCGGCGTTAACATAGTTTTACAAGGTACAGTCGACGATTAAATCTTCCCTCATTTATTAGCCTTATTGCCTGTCGCCCAGTGGGTCAAAACTGGTCGAATTCCTTATTGCTGCAAAACAATCATAGCTTCCATCACTAAAACTTGAGTGTTTTCACGCTTTTAAAATCAAATTTTCCAGTTGTATGGCCACGAATACAGCTGGGAGCTATGAGAGGCGGTAATAATCACAGGCTTCGACCACTTGTTGACTGGCAGTCACCCGCTTAGCAACTCAGTGTTGTTCCTACGTGTAAAAG